GTCGTAGTAGTCATCGTCGTAGTAGTAGTAGTAGGTAGTAGTAGTAGTAGTAGTAGTAGTAGTAGTAGTAGTAGTTGTTGTTGTTGTTGTTGTTGTAGCAGCAACAGCAGCAGTAGCGGCAGCAGTAGCAGTAGCAGGAGAAGGCAGCAGCAGCAGCGGCACTGACAGCGGTAGCACGAGTAGTAGCAAGATCAGCAGAATCAGAAAGACAGCTGCGCAATACTACTAGCCACAAGCAACCGCAATGGTCATGTCTGCAAGAATGAAATTTGTAGCGAGTCGCCATTCGCAACAATCACATGAGTCAGAATGAGTAAAATCTCCAGTTTTCCAGTTATGGCATGTCATCTAGTACGCTCCAGCAGAGCTGCGCGCAGCATTAGTGTTGACTGAAGCAGAGAAGTTGCGAGAGGAAAGCCTTGTGAAACTGCAGGTTTGGGGGCCTCGATTCACCCCTAAACACCTTCATTCACCGAGCCTAGCAAGCTGCACTTTCGCAACGCTACTTCCAAATACCCGGAGCAGACTGTCAAGACAGTTCTGAAACTGACTGGTTCAGGCCCGTTGTGCTGTCAGTAAGCGTCTAACTTTAATGTTCCTAATCGTTTTTCTCTTGGCCTTTTGCAGCCGTATTGGGCTCCCGCTTGGGGGGCGGGGCGCGGCCCCTTGCTACTGCAGCACCCAGCAGGCCCGGAGAATCAGTTGTTTAGCTTGACACCCAAACCTCGACTCAAGATCACAAGCCCAACCCTGAAGCCTGCACCCTCCTGCCTCAAGGCGCAACCACTGCCTCAAAGCCACCGACTGCCTCTACTGAGAATAGCAAAGAACAAGAGCAGAGTGGAAACATTCCCAGTGGACACTGGCAAGGCATCGCAAAGCACAGACGAAGACGAGGAAGAAGACTGCTGGCAGTAGGGGACCCCTAGAAGGCACAAGACAGCAAAGTCCGGATGGCGGGGGCTTGCCAACAGAGCATGAAAGCATTCTTGGGGCTTAAGTAATTGGCAACAGTATCCATCAGAGCCCCTGCATAGTAATACGAGAGTATGCCCCCAAAACCTATTCTACCAATCAAGCCCTGTGTATTAGCAAACTGGACCAGAATAGAGTCTAGGAAAATCTGGGAAACAAGGATCTTAAGACTAGCGGTTCTGGAGTAGCGACCACAAGGGAACACATAAGAACAGCAAGCAGCCGTGGTAACAGCACCAGCTATTAATACAGTACGAAATGCAAAAGCACAACGTCCTGGTCACCATAGCCAGACAACCACGCCAATGTTGAAGTTTCAACGAATCATCCGTCGTTCAAGCTTCTGAGTTCCTAGTGCCTCCCCCCTCGCGCCAACCTCCAACCAAGTCGCTGAAGCCCTGCCGAGGGCCTTGACCCTGCAAGGTCCCTTAAAGTTTATAGGGCTTGAGCCCCAAACCCTAAACCCTAAACGCCCTACGCCCTAAACCCTAAACCGTTCAAGCCAAGAGCAGGTTCGCCGTGATGGGCACTACCACCTCGACGGAGATCGGGGGTGTGCGGGTGTTCAAGGCCGAGAGAAAGCCCGAGCCGGGCCTTAGTAATTACCTATACCATTTTGGGGGCTCCTTCTTATCATTCTAGTATAATGGGCCGCGAGACCCTGTTCTAATCATGAAGGCCCCTTCTCATAGTTATAGTATAATGGGCCCCGAGACCCTATTCTAATTATGAAGGCCCCTAGATGATAGTCCCGCGGATGCATCCTGTGCAGGTGAGCCCTGGCAGCCCCGCCGCCGAAGCGGGCCTGGAGGTGCGACATAAGGTTTAGGGTTTAGGGTTTAGGGGGGGATTGGCTTGGTACTGGTTCACTTCAGGGCCGTCTACAACAAGTGTGTAGGAACAGCCCCGCAATGACAATGCTGCTCATGGTCGATTAGCTTGCGGCGGGGTGTAATTTGAAGTGCAACCAAGAAGGAGAACCTGCGAGTCTTCATGATCATGATGTGGTGAAAGTTTGTAGAGACTAAGCGCCTCTACTCTTTCGGCTTCGACCCAAAATGCCAAGCTGCAACAGCCCACACCAAACGGTGTTGGAGAGACTGCGGGCCCCGAAGCCTCAGCCTAGAAACTCCAGCAAGCGAAGGTCTTTTTCGACTTCATCCTGGCGATCAACGGCATCCGGTTGGAGTGGCGGCCTTGCATTGCAACAACACCAAGTGTAAAAAGCTGGATTCCAGAGCCATTCAAGGTGGTCGCTCACCCCCCGAAGATCCTCAGCAACATCGAAACAACAGCCTGCATTCGCACGTGCAAGAACTCCACTGAACCCTGGCCCCTTCCCAACCAGCCCGCAAAGCAAGAGTGCTAGTTTCGCATCGTCAGCATTGGCACCATCGTCAGATTAGCAGTCAAGACAGGTCTGGTACCAGAGCACACAGGCTCATCTGACAGCAAGTGGTAGTCATAATCGACAGCATTACCGTCAAGGCATACGCAATTGAAGAGATGATTGATGATAGCAAGTGCACAAAAATATGTCCTGAGGCCAGTACGAAGAAAGTGCGCAGTAAGAAAAACTAACACCGGCAAGAGTAAGGATGGCATCTGCAGTAAAATCGTAGTCGTAGCAGTGGCGGCAGCGATCGTCGTGGTGGTCGTGGTGGTGCGTGCTGATGGTAGGAAATTGTAGCCGGTAGCAACAATAATGCAGGAATCGCCACAATAAAGCCACTGCTGGTACTGAGAAAGGAAAAGCCCTTGAGAAGCAAAGGAGCCGAAAGCGGAACAAAAGCATACAAAGTTTGGGAGCCTAAGTCCTTCAGCAAGGCCCGGTGAGCAGTCAGTTTTCGCCAAAAACATCCAGGACAGAGTGTGCATGTGCGTGTCTGTGTGTGTGTGCGTAGTTTATCAGGATCAGGTGCGTTCTTGACTGCTCTCGTGGTGTCATGTCTGTGGCTGCAATGCAATTAAGAACACATTTGAGGCTCACTTGCGTGTCACCTCTGCAAGGTCCTGCATTTGATGGACATGCCTGTTTCTGATGCCTGGCAGGAAGCAGAAAATGGATCGGCGAAGCTCACGGTGTACAACACCAGGGCCAACATGACCAGGGAGGTGGTTCCCAAAGAGTTTGTGTTGCCACGAGATTTGGCCCAGCTAGGGCTTCTTGTCGATGTTCGGCCAAATATCCTCCGACGTGATTAACTGGATCGCCCAGACAGACTTGGGTATGTGCATGTCAGGCACCGTACCTCCCTCATGCCGGCAGCATTCAACTTGAGATCGCTGTGGCCCTGTTTCAAACCAGTTCTCCGGAGGTCGCCGTGATGCCTAGAAAATGGGCGGGTACTGGCCTTCTCGGCCCAGAACCCAGCCGACAGTTTGGAAAGTCCGCAGTCTTTTGTTGCCATGGTCTCCAGGTTGTTCCCCCGGCAGGAAACAGAGTACTCTTGCTTCCGTGTCTGGGCTGGTATGCATTGAATAGCAGATCATACATTCTGCTGTGGCTCCGTCTTCCATTTCTCTTCAGCATAAGCTTCCGGACGTCCATGCAGGGCAGCAGAACGCTCGAACTTCGTCATTACTGGCATCGGCTCTAGCAGTACACTGACCGTTACTGTAGTATCACGATAAAAGCTGATATTCCTCTTCATGCCGGTGCCATATGAACATCAGCTTTCGCGCTGGACTGGCTGCATGAATCTAGTCGACAGGCACGAAGGCCAATCCCGAAGACCGAGCCTGCACCCTAAAGACTATTGCTGCTGCCAGCACAACCCCTCCTGGAACGAGTGCTGCTGCTGGTTGCTGCCCATAGCCCCCAGCATCGGAAGCTCTCAACTGGAAGACCGTCCTTCGAAACCCTAAGCCCGCAGTGCAGAGACGGTCAGTTGCATGCAACGACCTTCAATAATTCAACTGTGAGGGGCTCCTAAGTGGGGCCATTCGAGGTGCGACAGTGCGCTACGATGCCGTCGATGTCGTCGCCGCCTTATCTTCACATGGCAAAATAGAAGCAGTTGTGCAAGTGTACCAGAGCATTGAGGTCCGAGGTCTCTGGCATGAGGGTGCGGGGCATACTTCCGGATATGGCGAATCGGTTCGGAAGAAAAAAATTCTCGGAAGGAGAGACATCCAGCGCAGGCTTCGTTTCGAAGAGTCCAGAGGGTGGGAGTTTGGATTGGCAACCGACATTGGTGTCTTGATGTGTTTTTCGGAAGTTCAGAAACTCAGAATCACAACGGTTGCACTTCGAAGCACCACGAACCCCGAAAATGCTGTTCCTCTTCAGGCCGAGAACCACGGCATTCGGGTTCTGGAGGCATTCCGATCCGGGTTCCTCTGAGGGAGTTCAGCCAAAACGTGTGGTTTCGTGTTTCGGTGGATCCTAGCCAAAAAGCTTAGCCGTCTCCGAGAGAGTCTTTCGATTTCCGCATTGCAGCCCTCAGCTTTAGCTTCGGTCCACAATAAATCCTCTTCAGTTCAAATGTAAATAATGTAGAAACCTGAACAAGTACTAATCACTTGTCTGCTCCTGCAGATTCCCGAATACTATACTTCTGTTAGAATATATCCCAAAAACCTGTTCTCATTTTTTGAAACCCTAAATTACCATAGAGGTGGTTGGCTCTGGGTTTGTGCTGAGGACTGCGAATATCCTGATCTTTCGGGGGAGACTTCCGGACTGGAATCCGACCGGATCCACGGAAAGTTTGCGGCCACCACGGTGTAGGGTTTAGGGTTTAGGATTTAGGGCATGGCCTGTGGCCTCAAAGTATAGAGCAGCATCCGGTGTAAAGCAACTTGCAGTTCAGCATGTGATACTGGCACGATGCGATTGCAGCTCCCGACAAAACCCCCTTCTCCCTGCAGCACCCACCCGAGATCTTAACCTGGCCCGGATGTGGAGTCTGCAGTGGTCAATGGCTGTAGCTCTGGCAGATTGCCGTGGAATTATTTCGACAGGTGTTTCCGAACTCGCCCGCGGCGCACGCAGGCTTGGTGCCGTTCCAGGCTGGGACGTCGTCGTATCCGCAGCCTTCATTGCCTCTGTCAGCATCAAAAGTCCATGCTTTCCGCTTCTCAGGACTTTTTGCTTGGAACTCCCCAGAGAGTCTTCCACGACATCGACGAGCTCGTCGAAGTTGTGCAAGCAAACCTGAATGAGCGCATGCAGGCATGGGCAGCATACCTCAGTTTCAGGATGGTCTTGGGAATTCCGGTAGACATCGGGGGCTTTGAAGCTTTTCCTCCGTGATTTCCACCCTACTGCTAGTGCTGTTTTCTGCGGAAAACTGTTCTTCTCCTGCTGCTCCATCCATGTCTACGTATCCACAGACTCCTGGAAGGTTTACGTCTACAACGCCGACACGGAGTCCATCAGAGAGGCTCCAGCTTCGATACCCTGAAGCCTCCGGGCGAGAATCCAAGCACCCCTTATATCGAAGCCTCGAACCTTGAATGACCCCAAGACCGTTTGGATTACGACGGAGTACGAGACTTTAAAGGGTGGGTAGGAGGCCTGAAGGAAAGGCCCAGCATTTTCTTTTGGAGTTCGAATCTGGCTATGAGTGTGAGACTACATACACTACATGAAAAAGCGTACCTGCCGTCATACTGTACACGATCATTTGTGCGCCTCGGGCGCGAAAACGACAACTACCAACAAGTATTAAATGAACGTGTACGCACACACCTGTGATGTTGTCTGTGTTTGAGTGTGTACATAGTCTTTGTGCATGTGTTGGTATCTGAGAGGGCATAGACATGCGGCGGTCGCTGCGCGTTTCACTGTCTACCCATGTTGGGGCACGCATGCTTTACGCACGCACACGATTTACACACGCACGCACATGCGCCGGCACATGTACATACATGTACAGGTATGACGGTATATGTATATATTTATACATGGATGATATATACATACACACATTCATACATACGTACGTACGTACGTACCTACCTACCTACCTACCTACCTACCTACCTACCTACCTACCTACCTACCTACCTACCTACCTATACCTACCTACATGCGTACGTACGTACGTACGTACGTACGTACGCACGCGTGTATGTTCGTGTATGTATATGAGCATTGATCTAAAGGTCCGTGCGTGGGGATGATATAAAACGGTTTTAACATGTGAAATAGAGATGTATATGCATATGTCTGTTATATGTATATGTATATGTATGTGTGTGTATATATATATATGCCATATACATATATGTGTGTACATGTAAGTATTTACTAAATGTGTTTATTCAGATATGTGCTCAATTGCTGTGTGTATGTAAGTGTTTATTCACAATGCATTCCGTTGTGTGTCGGTGTGATGTGCTTTTTGATTTTTCCATGTACAGCTGTTTTAATACGTTTATCCGAGGTTGCATGTACACTTACATGCACATATCCTACGATGCACGCATATCTGTGTAAGCTCGTATCTAGGTTTACTTCGTCAGGGGCCTCTATCTGGGTATACACATGTACACATATCCATTCTGCTCAGTAGTCAAAAACCAAGTATGTCGATCTTTTGGTTCTGCTTGCTTGTGCACATGTACGTGTATGTATGCGAATATGATAGGCGCATATACAGATGCATATGTACACATGGAAGTGTATGCATATGTGCACACACCTGTGTAAATCTGTATGCGTAAATGTATGCGTGCATAGCTACAAGAAAACATGGGTAAGTAAGCGGAAGTGTATACATGTACAAAAACACAAACACGCACACTCTCCTGACACACACACACACACACCCGCGCGCGCACGGGCGCGCGGGCGGACGTGACACAAACGTACGCAGCTTGAGAGAAGCACATCATGTCATATGTTGAGCCAGTTGAGCATCGTTTGCACCAGTTCCGTTGTATGTACTCTCTCGCTTTTCTCCTTTCGCAAAGTGATGTGTGTGAAGACCATCCTCGTGCCCAACAACTCCTGGGGCGGTGATGGCTGCATTGGCTGCGACATAGGCAGAGAACGGGTGCAATGTTTAATGTTGCCGACTACGGTGCTGGTCTCAATTCGGCTAGTGGGGAGGGTTGCCTTTGCTACAACAAAGGGTTAGGATGCTCCGAAGTGTCCGAACTGTAGGAGACATTTCGTTGGCATCTAGGTGGGCAGCAGAGAACGTCTCACCATTGGTCCAACTACAGAGATCCCGTACATCCAACCTCCACATTCAGGTACTGGCCTGCTTCATCGAATCCCAGCGCCGCGGCGGCCGCCCGGGGGTCCTGTCGCACCCACGCGCGGGGGCTCAGACAGCTGGAGGATAGGCTGAGGAGGTTGAGGTATTCGTCCTGATTGTGCCGGCTTTGATGCTGAAGGACTTTGAGTTAATGGTCATTGATGGCCCAATGGTATTATTGCTGCTGCTACTGCTGCTGCTGCTGGCACTTTGTTGGTGCTGGGGCAGGCGGGGCTGGCACTTTGGTAATGGTAGTGACGGTGGTAGTGGTGGTGCAGGATCCGATAAAGGTGAAGGTAAGGTGCAGCCGAAG